CTTCTCCACACAACCTCCACCATCATATTCTATTTCACCTATAGTGCTATGTCCATGGCTCACGCTCATGTCTTGCGTGAGGGTTGAAAAAGCTGAAGCGCATTAAAAAGTATGAACCAATTGCTCGGCTTGTCATCGGGGTTGTGCATGATGTGAATATTTTGTGTGGTGAAGATGGAGCATAACCAGACTATATGATTTTGTAGGGATAACTTTCTTTGGCCATGTTATTTTGAGAAGACATGATTGCTTTATTAGTAGGCTTGAAGTATTATTGTTTTAATGTCAAATGATAGACTATTGCTTTGAATCACTCGTATCTTAATATTCATGCCATGATTAGATACATGATCAAGATTATGCTAGGTAGCATTCCACATCAAAAATTATCTTTTTTTTATCATTTACCTACTCGAGGACGAGCAGGAATTAAGCTTGGGGATGCTGATATGTCTCCATCGTATCTATAATTTTTTATTGTTCCATGCCAATATTCTACAACTTTCATATACTTTTGGCAAATTTTTATACTATTTTTGGGACTAACATATTGATCCAGTGCCCAGTGACAGTTCATGTTTGTTGCATGTTTTTTGTTTCGCAGTAGATCCATATCAAACGGAGTCCAAACGGGATAAAAACCGACGAAGATTTTTTTTGGAATATATGTGATTTTTGGGAAGAAAAAACAACGCGAGACGATGCCCGAGGAGGCCACGAGGCAGGGGGCGCGCCCTGGGCCCTCGTGGCCAGCCCGTAAGGCGGTTGATGCCCTTCTTTCGCCGCAAGAAAGCTAATATCCGGATAGAGATCGTGTTAAAATTTCAGCCCAATCGGAGTTACGGATCTCCGGGAAGAAACGGTGAAAGGGTAGAATTTGAGAACGCAGAAACAGAGAGAGATAGAGAGACAGATCCAATCTCGGAGGGGCTCTCGCCCCTCCCATTCCATGGAGACCAAGGACCAGAGGGAAAACCCTTCTCCCATCTAGGGAGGAGGTCAAGTAAGAAGAAGAAGGAGGGAGGCTCTCTCCCCCTCGCTTCCGGCGGCGCCGATTGCCACCGGGGGCCATCATCATCACCGCAATCTTCACCAACAACTTCACCGCCATCATCACCAACTCTTCCCCCCTCTATGCAGCGGTGTAACCTCTCTCTTACCCGCTATAATCTCTACTTAAACATGGTGCTCAACGCTATATATTATTTCCCAATGATGTATGGCTATCATATGATGTTTGAGTAGATCCTTTTTGTCCTATGGGTTATTTGATGATCAAGATTGGTTTGAGTTGCATGTTTTATTATTGGTGCTGTCCTATGGTGCTCTCCGTGTCGTGCAAGCGTGAGGGATTCCCGCTATAGGGTTTGCAATATGTTCATGATTCGCTTATAGTGGGTTGCGTGAGTGACTGAAACACAAACCCGAGTAAGGGGGTTGTTGCGTATGGGATAAAGAGGACTTGATGCTTTAATGCTATGGTTGGGTTTTACCTTAATGATCTTTAGTAGTTGCGGATGCTTGCTAGAGTTCCAATCATAAGTGCATATGATCCAAGTAGACAAAGTATGTTAGCTTATGCTTCTCCCTCAAATAAAATTGCAATAATGATTACCGTCTAGTTATCGATTGCCTAGGGACAAATAACTTTCTCGTAACAAAAAGCTCTTTACTAAAACTAACTTAGTTGTGTCTTTATCTAAACAGCCCCTACTTTTTATTTACGTAATCTTTATTATCTTGCAAACTTATCCAACAACACCTACAAAGTACTTCTAGTTTCATACTTGTTCTAGGTAAACAGAACGTCAAGTGTGCGTAGAGTTGTATCGGTGGTCGATAGAACTTGAGGGAATATTTGTTCTGCCTTTAGCTCCTCGTTGGGTTCGACACTCTTACTTATCGAAAACTGTTGCGATCCCCTATACTTGTGGGTTATCACATATCATCGGCGTATTGGAGAACAGTGGGAGGCAGGTGGGAGAAGATGGGGTGGTGGAGGGCAGCCTCTGAGTTATGGAAGATGTGTTGTTGGAGCAGGTCAGCGACGATGAGGAAAAGGTAGGGGGAAGCCGGGTCACCTTGCCTCAGGCCGTTCTTGCATTGGATCCAGTTGCCAGGGACACCATTCAGGAGGATGGCAGCTTTGCCTGTGTGGCGAATGTTTTGGATCCAGTTGCGGAAGGTTTGGGAGAAACCACGAACGGACAGAATCCTGTCTAGGGCAGGCCAAGCCACAGAATCAAAGGCTTTTCGGAAGTCGGGCTTAAAAACCATGGTTGGTCGTTTGCGAGCGTGACAAGAAATAATGAGATCGGCTGCAAAAACGTAGTTCTCGGTAATATTTTTGTCGGAGATGAACCCAGTCTGGTTACCATGAATTAACATAGGTATGAGCGGTTTGAGGTGAGAGGTGAGGACTTTAGCAACAACTTTGATTGGGCAGTTCTGCAGAGAGATGGGTCTGAAGGCGTCGGGTGAGGTTGGCGTGTCCTTCTTTGGAAGGAGGACAATGTGAGCACGGTTTATACGTTCTGTATCTACCACGCCTTGGTGAAATTGGGAGAAGAAGGGTAGCACGACGCGTTTGACTAAGGGCCAGTAAGTTCCATAGAAGGATGGCCCGAAACCTTCTAGCCCAGGTCTGGCTTGGGGGTTCATTTGGAAGAAAGCAAGTTTGATTTCCTCTTCGGAGAAATTCTCATCAAGGATGTGGAGGCCGGCCACAGCCTGTGGGGTATATAGCGTGCAGATCAAAATCCCAGGATGCATTGGCTGGAGTACCGAGGAGGGAGACGAAGAAATCCCTAAGAATCTTGGCTTTGTGGTGGTGAGAGGTGAAGTCATTGCCGTCGCGTGTGAGTGTAAAGATTTTGTTCTTCCTAAAATGTTGGGAGGCAGACATGTGAAGAATTTTGTGTTTTCCCACCGTGGATGGCCCATGACACTTGAGCACGCCATCTCCAGTAAGTCATTTTTTGGATTGTGCATTTAAGGATTGAGATGATAATCTTACGAGTGAGGAGTTTTGGTTGGGAGAGAGCCCTAGATTCTTCAGCGTGGTCTAAGGCAGCGATTGCAGATTTGCAACGAGATTCGCAAAGAGGAGTAGGGACACGTGAACATGCCCATTTTTTAAGGTCAGACCGTGATTCTTTGAGAGAGGAAGCGAGGGTAGCGGCCGAGTTGGCTGATGATGTGGCCAGGGATGGGGCCCAGCATCTCCTAACAATATCTCCGCATGGACGGAAGTTGGCCCAGCCAGGCTCAAATTTAAAAAAGTTGGACCGAGGGATCGTTGTGGTGACGTGAATGAGGAGGGGGCGTGATCGGACGTGAATCGTGTGAGCGATGATAGAGATGTGTTAGGGAAGGCGTTGGCCCAAGCTAGGTTAAAGAAAGCGTGATCGATCCGTTCTAAGGTGGGCGTTTCTCTATTGTTCGACCAAGTGATTGGGCGATCGAGGAGCAACAGCTCGACGAGGGCTAGGCCGTCTAGGGTTTGATTAAAGGCGTTGGCCTCAGACTGCCGGAAGGCATTGTTATTTTTGTCAGAGGGGAAGCGAAGGAGGTTGAAGTCTCCAACAATCAGCCAGGAAGAATCATCTGGTTGTGAGATAGCTAGGAGCTCATCCAGGAAGGATTGTTTGAGCGCACGTAAAGAGGGGGCGCATATATTGCTAATGGCAATGTTGCGAGCACATGTCGTTGATTTCAGAATTAGGGTGGAGGAGAAGGTGAGGTGAGTGAACGAGACAACCTGGAGAGAATTTGTGTTCACGGCAAAAATAGTGTTGCCATTGGTGCCCACAACTGGTAATGAGAAGACTTGGTCGAGTTGACGTGGCAAGAAAGATCTTAGCTTGGGGTCGGAGTAAGTATCAAGTTTTGACTCTTGCAGGAGGGCAATGTGAGGTTTGATCGCAATCAATTCAGGGAGGACGTCAGAAAACTTGGCATCGTCCCCTAAGCCACGTACATTCCAAGAGCAAATAGAGATTGCAACATTACTCGTTAAAAAGGTTCATACACCGGTAGGTAAAGCAGAAGTACAAGGGTTCTATCGGAGCAAAAGTTACAGAGTAACGTGAAGACAGTACTAGATCTAATGACAGCAGACACAGTGACCAAAAGAGCAACGACGCACTTCATACATGCGGTGTAACAGAGACGGACGAGAGCGTCGGACTACGCCCCGATGACAAGGGGCAGTGCACGCCTAGGATGCGGATCATGGTGCGTCGTCCTCACCGGAGGCAGAGGCCTCGGATCCAAGAATGGCGTCAACATGGCCGTCATCGGCACCACACAGCAGCGTAATGGCAGCCAGGTCTTCAGGAGAGGCAGGAGGACCATCGGCAGCGTTGAGGCGGGCATCCTGGATGGCATGATCAATGGTTGTGCCCACGTCCGCAGCAGAGAGGCGAGCGGCCTTGGCCTTAACGGCCTTGACGAGCATGGAAGAGTACTTGGCCTCCTTGCCAGCAAGCCGCACGCGACGACACAACTTGTCTTTGAAGTAGGAGTGGTCACAAGATGTCCTGCGATGCTCCTTGCATATGGTGCTCTCGTGGGTGTCCAGATCCTGAAGAAAGAGATGCGTTCGTCGTGGCAGTGGTTAGCGTATTGTTAACAGAGGCTAAAGGATTCGAATGATTAAGCGTCGGAGAGGATGGGGCGTTACCATTTGCACGTGACGATTCTTCAGCATAGAAAGTGAAAATGGGAAGGGCGGCAGTGCCGGCAGGGGACTCGGCTCCCCTGACGTACTGCAGGGCGCAGTTGGGTCACTGACAGGTGGGCTAACTTGCTTTTGGGCCCACCTGTCAGTGGCCCAACTGCGCCCTGCAGTACGTCAGAGGAGCCTCGTCCGCCGGCAGGGGGCGGCACGAGCACTGTGAAAACAGACGTGTCCGACGGCACCAACGGGCCATCACTTCAGTCGAACACTAAAATAGCTAAGATAAAGCAAATGACCAGCAGCCTCATGAAGTGCACAGTCACGACGCTACAAAATTAATGGAGGAGTACACGGCATATCACACATCGGTGCACATACAGAGGACCTGAAGTTATTTTTCACAAATCATGGGCGTCCGTATCGTCCCGTCGCGGCCGATTGATTTGATTATCGTTCGCCGCGATGATGTCACAGTAGCTCCCCAGCAGCTCTTCCACCAGCTTCAGCAAGGCGACACGGGAGGTGCCACCGTCGCTCACCGCTGACTTGGCCGCCTTCTGAGCCCAGGCCGCCTTGGCTCGCATTTTCTGTCCGTCCGAGTCGCCGGCGTCCATCAGCCTCCTGATCTTGTGCTCCACCTCCGCCCTGCCCACCACGGCCCCGGCGCCCCCGGCGGCCGTTATCCTCACCCCGGCGCCGATGATGTGCGTGACGTGGTGCGCGTTCAGGTGCTGCTCGGCCATCTGTGGCCACGCCAGGACGGGCTTCCCCGCTGCCAGGCTCTCCATCACCGAGTTCCACCCGCAGTGGCTCAGGAACCCTCCCACCGCGGGGTGAGCCAGCACGCTCCTCTGCGGGATCCACCCGCGGACGATCCTTCCGTGCGGCCCCAGACCGGACGGCCCAGAGGAATGGGTGGCCGGACTGCACCAGCCCGCGCGCCAGCTCGTCGAGCTGCTCGTCGGAGACATGGGCCTGCGTGCCGAACGACACGTAGACCACCGACTCCGGCCGCTCCGCCATCTCGTCGAGCCAGGCGAGGCACCCCTCCGGGTCCTGCTCATCCTCGCGCTCCGGCACGTCGCCGGCGGCGAGGAACAGAGGGCCCACCAGCCAGGCGCGCGCGCCCGGCTGGTAGAACGACATGAAGGCCGATACGTAGTCCTCTTCCAGCATGGCGAAGCTGTTGACCAGGACGCCCCAGCTGCGCGCGTCGGACTCGCCGATGTCATCGATAAGGAACCGGGTCACTGGGTCCTCGGCGTCGCCGAGCTTGGTGATCGTGTCCGGGACATCCGCCGCCGTGATCCTCACGTGTTCCGGCATATGGGCGACGTGGAAGCTTGCGCCGTGCTCAGCGACAGGCGGCGGCGGGCTCGTGATGAGCGACCTGCAGGTGGCCATCGAGAAGCAGGACATGCCTTGGAACACGATGCGGCGGCCGCGACGCGGTGCGTGAACCCGAGGAAGGAGTCGGAGACGAGCACGAGCGGCGGGGCCGGGAGCGACGCCATGAACTCCGCGAAGGACGCCCGCAGGAGCGCCGTGGCGCGCAGGAACGTCGGGTACAGGTCCGGGCCGGGCAGGGTGTCCGTGGACTCGACGCCGGATGGCAGCGGCGGCAGCGAGGGGAACGGGAGCACCGCGAGGCGCACCGACGCCGGGAGGCGGCTGCGGGCGAAGGCGAGGTTGGCGGGCGTGATGACCACGGTGATGCGGAGGTTCTTTTGGTGCACGGCGAGCGCCGTGGCGAAGTGGAGCAGTGGGAGGGTGTGGCCCTTGGCCATGAACGGGAACACGACTACGTGGTCGCGGCCGGCCTGGTTGCCCGCTCCGTCCGCGGCATGGGTGGGTGCAGCGGCACCGTTGTTGTTGGTGGTGGTGATGGCCATGGCAGGGCGTTGCCGTGTGGTTTGCGGGTTGGGTTCTGAAGGGTTGAGGTCTATGGTGAGGTGACGTGAGGCGAGGTGAGGTGAGTTCACTATATAGAGAAACTCAACGCATGGATCGTGTGTATCCCTTTTGTATATAGGAGTATCTTTTTGATATGCGGAATCAATGCTCTTCTGGATATGATATCTGTATCTCTGTATTATTGCAGACACTTTCTTTTTTCAAGTATAGTCTCGGTGCATACACTTATAAGGTAGTTTGAATTTAATTGTACTTCATCCGTTTCTAAATATAACTTTTTTTAAAGATTACAATATGAACTGCATATGGAGCCAAATGAATGAATCTACACCCTAAACTAGTACATTTATATACATCCATATATAGTTTATATTAAAGTTTCTAAAAAGACGTATATTTAGGAATGGAAGAAGTATAATCTTGTCACATACGGCGTCTATAAAAGGTGAGAAAGTCAAGGCCTAGTTTGAGTGCACCTCTCTATCCAGCTATCTCAAATTTTGGGAACTCATGTAGTAGCGGTTCATTGCCAGTGTGCTATTTGGTTCATTATTGCAATAGCGACGGTTATTATTGCCATAACATTGGTTCATTTATTAGGGCACTCCCTCAAAGCTCAAACTCATATAAAATATTTTAAATCACTACTTTAGTGATCTAATAAAAGGTTTTATATTAGTTTACATGAGTACTAGTATTGCAGGAGAATCAATTTTAGTCCACATGTGGCCAGTTTCTTCCTACCATCCTACTCGTTGCTTCCTTTCATGGCTTTGTACAAGTGTGCATGATGGCACAATGCACTTCTGTTGCGTATACCGTTTACATATAATGGGTAATTTTAATGAAGATTGAAGAGAGAGGAACCTAAAGCTCTCCGCGACAAACAACATTTGTGTTCACGGGCAATTGGGCAATATCACTTGCTTCTGGCTCAATGTTTGGCTAACCTCAAGTGTAACCTTTCCAAATCTCTTCATCCACCCTACCAATCCAATCTTCTAGTGTCCAGTGTCATAACCTCTTTTTTTTATAACAGAGACACTAGAGGCACCTGGCTTTAAATTAATCAAGGCCATAAACTAGGCAGCTTACCAAACTACAACCAAACCGATAAACCCGAATCACATAATCACCATGGTACATGGTGTAAGGCCCAAAAGAGAAGAATATGCAGGCCCGAACATAAGAACCCCTTCCCTACGACGACTGAATGGTACAGAGTTTGTCTATCATGCTTTGCATGGCTTCAATGTCACGTTGTTTCCCCAACGAAGCTCATTACTATAGAAACATATTGCATTTGAAGATAACATCAGCTAGGTGCGACAGGAAAACGGATTAGGTGATGATTTTATTATGGATGTGCCACAAAGCCCAAAGCAAAGCACCCACATAGCGCCACAGAATTCGTTTGTTAGCACCCCGCTGCGCACGGAGCATCTCTAGCAGGTCCCTACCGGACAGAGGATTCCAAGATTGATCGGAAGCTTCTCGCACTACACACCACGCAAAACGTGCGAGATGGCAACAGAGGAAGACTTGATTAGCATCTTTCGGAGCAGCTCGGAGCACACAAGCACCTGTGGCCGACCCCGGCAACTCCGTCTTCCAGAGACTCGAGTTTGCTCGTCGATGATGGTGTAGGGGGGCAACTGCTACTAAAGAGTGGCCGGTGGGCGGCGGGGCAACGAACACAGCATCTGTGATGCCTGCGACGGGGAGCACATGTGTTCCTATGAAGGGGAGAAGTACGGATTCGAGTGAGCACATGTATTACTTTATTAAAAAATGTCATGAACAAAAAATACATAATTTTCGTATGAATAATCAAAGAAACATGAAATGTATAGTTTCCATCAATGTGGAAATATGAAAAATGCCATGCTACTTTACAGAAATGCCATGCTAATTTATAAATTTACAAATGGATGATTAGAAATGTGTCGTGTGATCTAAAAAATATGAATTTTGCCATGGAGATGTTTTGTGAAAAAAGACATATTTTGCAAAACAATTTTTTACCAAGGACCAAAAACAAAATTTCATGTTGTAATATTTTTGCTTTATTTGGTCTACTATGCAAAACATCATTAAAAAAGACATGTCAGTGAAAAAATAATTCCATGCCAATAAAAAATAAAATTATTACCCTCTTAATAATAAACTGTCATTCTCTTAACAATAAAATGTCAGACTCTCAATAATAAGACTACCATCCTCCTATAATAAAAATGTCATGTTATTAAATAATAAAGATGTCATGCTCCTAATCATAAACTACCATCCTCTTAATAAGAAAAATGTCATGTTATTGATTATTAAAATTCCATGCTCTTAGTAATAAAAATGGCATACTCTTAATAATTAAAATGTCATGTTATTAATAATTAAACATGACATGCTATTAGTAATAAAACTGCCATGTGAGAAAGTAAATAAATTATAAAACTGCCATGAAAAAGTAATAAAATTTCCCAAATGTTTGCATGGGTGTATTACAAAAAAGACCTAAAATTTTCCATGCTACATAAAACCCATGGCAAGTTCAGAAAAATCCCCTCTAAAAATTAGAGATTTTCTGTTTTTTCAAAAATGGAAAATATTCAAGATTTTGGATTTTTAAAATAAAACAAAATAAATTAATTTTTTTCTTCAAATACATAAAAACAAATTTTATTGCATGTTTCCACAAACCTACTTCGGCCCAATTGGTGAAGTGTGCTCAGCTGAGGTCTCGAGCTCCCCTCCCCACGCACCTCACGCGAATTTTTTGGGGAAAAAGAGTGAGCGTCCGTCCGAAAACATTTTATATCAAATGACTCCAGCTCATCTACGTGGTGTCGGTCCTGTGCCAAGATAACACAGGAAGGCGCTCGCTAGGGTTGGCCTCCTACCAAATGTCGTCGGATAGAATTTTCGTATATATTTGTTGGCTGGTACTCCCTCCGTAAACTAATATAAGAGCGTTTAGATCACTTTTTTAGTGATCTAAACACTCTTATATTAGTTTACAGAGGGAGTACCACACAGATGGTTGTGTCGCATTATACATGCTAAAATGTAAATAAAAAATATAAAATCCTAAACATGATAAATACTACTCCCTCTATCCCAAATTGCTTGTCTTAAATTCATCTAGTATAAATGTATCCAAACATGTTTTTATATTAGATACATCCGTATCTAGAGAAATTTAATAAAAGTAATTTGGGACGGAGGCGATACTAGATAGTTGGACTACATTGTAGTTTACTAATAATTTTTCTATTGTGTTAGCTGACATTTTTTAACATCAAAGTACTTTTTATTGCAAGGTGATCACCATATTATCTTTTATAAGAGTATCAACAATCTTTACGGGTGGATCTTTCATCCACCCCGCACACACCTTACTTCTAGCTAGTTTGGTTAAATCATGGGCAACACAATTAATCTTTCTAGGAGCATGCCAAAAAATAATATGCGGAAAATCACACGCAAGGTGATATATATCAAAAACTGCTGCCGATAGACCGAAAGAGTGACATCCATTCTTCATTGTCTCTATCACCTCGATGTTTTCAGAGTTCACCTCTATGCGGTTGCACCCGAATGTATTTGCCAAATTGAGACCAAACCATAAAACCATAAGGCCAGTGCCTCGGCCATAACCGCATCTTGGTACCAATCAATTTCTTCGTTTCCTACCACGATGAATCTGTCATTTGAGTCTCTGATGATAGCAGTATAAGGGTCCTTGAGTAAGTCTGGGTCAAAAGCCCCATTCACGTTTAGCTTCGCATAGTTGCTCCTTGGTCTTTCCCAGCCATGTCGATTGATCATCGCCTTTGCATCACTTGCTATAGTATAGTTAGCAACCAAAGCTATGATT